ACTTTAAACAAAAATGTTTCCCTGAAAATAACATATTTATTCAATAGATTGACATATTTAGATTTTGGATTAAAATCTTTGGATTAATTGTTAGGTCATTTCCTATATATTGAGGGAATATTTTGACAGGTACCACATAGAGAGCCTTGGGCTAAGCAGGAATCTAAAACCAAGTTTCTCAGTTTTAAATCAAACTGTGTTTCCAAGTTACACTAGTACCAATATTCTAGAATCCAAAAAGCAAATAACCAAACCATAGTAACCAACTGTTACTGATATCACATTAGAATGTTAGTAAACAAGGTATAATATTTGTTATAGGCTCCAGTTCCAGAGAAAGCCCATCTTCAAAACTTCTTTCTTCAGCAGGAGAATCAGATACGTACATATGAAATTAATAACCATCATTTTCTATGACAGGCTTTAATGAATCAGAGCAGAGCAGAGCAGATAGAAACCCAGACTACACTAATATTCTAATATCATGATTGTTCAACGCTAGAAAACAGGAAAACTGGGTAAAAATTAGATGGATTAATTGTAAAGTAAACTACAAACTGGGAAAGCAGTAAAAGTACATAGAACCAAATTAAAACAGTTTTCTTACTGCTAGGCTTAATATTAGCTATATCAGATTCTTATTTGCACTATTCTTATTCTTATTCATAGAGCCCTGGAAGAATACTTCCCTCTTGCTGCAATAGTAAGATTGTCATACAGTTTGGATTAAATTAAAAGGCAGTCAGGAATTCAGCAGTGTTTGTAGAGAGCAAGAGAATCACAACCACATGTAAGAATTCAAGCAAGAACAATAAAATAAATGATGGAGATGGTGGGGTGGGGTATGGTGGGGTGGGGTGGGGGGAGAAGAACACAGGTGCCAATTGTCCCATTAAAATAAGTCTTAGATTAATTTTAATTCAATCTACAGTACAACAGCTACAAGCAGAGTACTTTATAGGCTCAGATTTTTTTTAATGCCGATATGGGATTGGGTAGGTTAAATATATATTTTGCTATCATCATCAGTGGCAACATAGGAATGATCAACAAACTACATATGCCTTTATAGCTGGAGCTGTCTAAAAGATGGTCTCCTTTGAGTCAAGCTTGACTCAGCGACTTCATGAACAGGTCTGTCAACAAGATGGAAGTGGTTTGCCATTGCCTTATTCTGAAATGTTTTCTTCAGTTTCCCAGTTCAGCCTACAGCCCTCCCAACCAACTATTAATCTCTCATGAAAGTTCTAATCAGATCTGACCCTATTTAGCTGCTTAAGATCAGTTAAGGTTGGTTAGATGCTGCTGCTAGGCAGACACAGATTAAATGGAAGGTTTGTCACAGCACAATGTTTAACCCATTCAAATCCCATATGTTTACTAATGATATGGTTCACAGAATAAAAAAAAACAAAAACAAATGCAACTGGCTAGTTAGCACTAGCCTCCTAAATGTGGACAGCCTACTGAAATTAAGAATAATTACATAAGCATATTCTGGTAAATTTTAATAGATTAATATTTTATAGTCCTCTTTCAAGAATGAGAAATGACCACAACATAAAGTAATATATTATGTGATTTTTGTTAAAGAAATTTTACTTCTTAACAGGATAGGATGGTTTTTCTGTCCCACAAAGAACGATCATCTCTGCTTCTCAGTGATAGTTGATTTCATAATGCAAGGAGAGAACTTTCAGCCACCAAATATATAGTAATTATTGCATGCTACACAAATAACTTGAACTAACATTATTCATTTTAGACAAATTCAATACCATAGCTTTAAACAAAAACAAAATTATTTAAATGCATTAGGTTACTTTGAGGCATTTCACGTTTTGAGATCGATTTTCCTGGATTCTGAACTCCAAGAACTAGTTGCAGAATGATAGTTCAGATAGGTGATATAAAATAATAGATATTCAGTGCAGGACTTTTCATTCAGTGCCAAAACTGAGTTCATAGTCTTTTCATGTAAAAATCAATTCCTGGTTTTCATCCAAGCATTCTTCATTGCAACAGGTTAATTTAGAGGGAGAGAGAACTATTGTTAGGTGCTGCTGTAAAACTATTAGGATTCAAGTACCCTTGCCGAGTGATAAAAAAGCACCTCCAAATCTATCAGTAGATCCTGATCTGTGTTTCATCCACTACTGCTATGCAGATTGCTCAGTTAAATAATTATTTTTTAAAAATGCATCTTTGCTGGTTTTCAACTCCATCCAGTCCTCCCTTTCTCAACATTTGCATATTACAAAACCAGATTTTCATAAATGACAATGTCAGAAAGCTAGACTAGGAAAAAAAAATAATAAGTTCAGCCATTGTAAGTGTTCTCACAAAGAGGATGAAATCAAATTCATTTCAGTAACTTTAGCCCCCTACAAACTAAACTATCAAAAATGATTTTAAACATGCAATAAGGAATGTGACTTATTACTGTATAGATAGGACTGAAATATTAGGTCAAACTATCTGGATGTATGCCAGCTTTATAAAGTATTTCTAAATCTACCCCCAAGTTGTTAACCTGTCTATCAAGTATAATGACTAAGTGCCTATAATTCCTAGTGGGGAAAAAAAGCACGCATCAATTTAATAGTTGCAATCAATCTTTATTTTAAGGTTAAACAAATTTTGGTTTGAGGCATTTATGTAATATTGGCTGGTGTAATGTGCATTAGATGTTAATGTGGACCTTGCTCAGCTACAGCACCTATCCAATGGTGGGCTCGCCTTAGAACATTTGAAGCAACAGGCAGAGAGTGCATCTGAACACACACAGAGTTTCTTTCTCATCAGACATTCAGTAATCAATGGTATCAGCCAATCTTCCAGATTAGGATATGTGACTTCTAGTCAAATTTGAGCCTGGGGCAGTTCACTTGTTAGAAATTATGCAACAGAAGTGAATTATCTCTGGATTTCAAAAGGCACCCCCCCCCCCGCAATAAATAACCGCCACTTACGGTAAATTAAATTAGTGATCTTCCAGCTGACACCAGTTTAAGTGACCCAGGTGTTTTTCTAAGAGGGAAATTTAAATGCAGTGCGGCAGGGGAGGGGGAAAGGTGAATTTGGCACTGCTGTCTTCCTTCAAAAATAATTTTAAGTATGCAAATTCATCCTCAAGTGTTCATTGTTGGGTAAGAAAAAGAAAATGAAATCAATGCATTAGCTGCCTTTAATATTTCATAGGACTCCCTCCCCGGCTTGCCAATGGCCTCTTATTTTTATTTTATTTTAAGTCACAATGTTTTCCTTACAGCGTCCGCTGAGAGGAGTTCCAACTCAGCATGTACAGCCTTGGCAGGAGGCGAGGGGAGCTTTTAACAGCTGCAGCGCGCCGCTGAGGAACTTAAGTGACATAACATTCACACACACGACCAGATTACACGTGGACTTCACTTCCCGTGACTAAGAGCGTTCAAAGCTTTGGAAAAGCACTTAGCACTGCTGTCGCCCCAGGGCAGGCATCCTTATCCCCAGCCCCCTCATTTTAACATCCCAGCTTCTCTTTCCCTCAGAAGAGAGAAGTGGGTTGCTATCCAAAACAAACCACTTCGCGTTTCAGGTTACCTCCTCAGGAGCCATGGAGAGCCACGGTTCTTCTGCTGCAGGACCCAAGACTCCGGCCGGCGGACGGACGGGCGGGCGGGCAACTGGGGTCGGCGGCAGGTCGAGGAGCGCGCAAAGAAAGCAGGACGCGCTCTCCGCCCGCTTCACCCCACCGTGCGAAGGCTGAAGGCTGCGGTACCGTCTGCCCCAGATAAATGCCTTAACAGCAGCCACCTCATGATTCATTCATCAGTCCCAGGGACCAGAATCACCGAAAGCGAGGAGGAGGGGGCTTGGAGGAACGCGAGCCTGGCCCTCCGCTGGAACTCCCGCGCGCAGAGTTCATTAATGGATGCATGACTCTCGCGCTCCCCCGCCTCGGCGCGCGGCAGGAGGACGGAGCCGAGCCGAGCTGAGCCGAGCCGGGGCCCGGCGCGCGCCAGAGGGAGCGTCCGTACGTGCCAGAGTGCGATTCGCCGCCTGTCTCTCCTTTGCCCCCGCGGGGCGGGGCTGCGAAAGGGGGAAGA